TCCCACCACACACCACTGAAGAGTATCACCTTATTGATAACCTGGCTTGTAGGTTGCTTGTGGGAGGCTGTTCTTTAGTGTTCCCTCCATAAGCTGTCTTTGCACCAGGCTGAACATACCTCACTATCTCAGGTTCTCTAGCCTTCAGCCACTGCAGTGACCCTGTGCTTGACTCATTCTGGGTTTTTTTATATCTTTCCTGGTGGATGCTAAGTTTGCACAGTAATCTAAGCACTGGTGAATAGAAAGGAATCCTTTGATCAATAGAAGCATCCTTTGATCTCCGGGCTGTGTTTCTTCTTGTACCACCCAGGAGTCTGTTGTCCTTCCTTGCTCTCAGAGTACAACGCTGGCTTACATTTGGCAAGGAGTCAAGAGCATTTCTGCCACTGGAGTATAGCAAACAAAGCCAGCTCTGCCATAACCCCAGCATCCCCAGGCATGTCCTCTTCCTCCATGCTGTAGTTGAGCTGGGGCAGAATTTGAAGATTTTAATGAGCCCTTGCTGCAGCAACCTTTGCTGCCATACATCCAGAAGTTCCTAGCACTCTATCTGCAGCAGTTGTACTTCAGTGTGTGCTGACCAATTCTCCAGCCATGTTCAGTGACTAAGAAACATCTTGGTATGTACATGGTGCACAGCTCCAGTGTCCCACTAACACTTCAGAAGAATCATATAGTAGCAAACCTGTGCAACAAATAAACATATATTTATCTCATGAAAACCCCAAAAGACGTACAGTAACTATAGATGTTAGCAAAATTATCTGTATGGAAAGGGTAAGAGATGGGCTGCTTGTCAAAGGTCTGGTGTGTAGCCAATATTGTGGCATCCACAACTGTCTTTTAAGTAACTGATTGTCATCAAGAATGGAGAGGTTGATGTCTTAACATCTTTTTCATCAATTCTAGTATACAAGTTATTACACAGTGCTGAGTGGTCACAACCCCACTGGGAACCAACATCTTTCAAAATTGCTCATTATTCTCTTGAGCATGAAAAACATCAGCCAGAAGAGATTAATCAGACTTGCACACCTGGCTTCACACAGTTTGCTTCTTTTCAGTTACGAGTGCTTTGTGCAATGATTTAAGACTCTGGTAATGTTTCACTGAGAAGACACTTATCATAGATTCCTTGTTCTTATTTCCCCTGTCCAGTTTCTTACTCATCTACAGGTGCCCATGTCTGATGTATATTCCATGCTGGAGACAAAAATTGTTACCATCCCTGGTTCATAAATCATGTTCGTTGTGAAATTAAAACAAACAAGAACTGTAAAACTTGGTCCCCTCACTCTTACATGCAGGGAGATGCTGTTCTATCCTGTACTGTAGATGATGGTATGGAGCCCATGGATTTGGGCAAGGCCACACTTGTTTGGTGTAGTCACTGGTCAGACCACACATTAGAATTTGCAGTACCAGGGTCACCATTACTGGTGTCAGTGAAGATACAGAGTTGTATTTCCCAGCAAATGGGTCAAACTCTCTTCCCATTGTAATCATTCTCCTTTTAATCATTTTATTTAAACAAAGTAGAATTCTCCTGAAAGTGAAGGGCAGACAAGTAGACTTAATGCCTCTGGTCCATTTCCAAGGGTCTGTTTTGGTATTAGGACCATATTCAGACAAGCTCAAGAATCTGAGTGTAACACAGTCAGTCTGAATGAGGGCATTAAAAATAATGGGCAAGATTTTTGGCCGGTGTCCAGTGCAGTTACCCAGCACTGGTACCATTGAAAATATGTTGATGTGAAGAATTTGTTTAAATTTAAGTGAAAACTAAAGGTCCATACCTTAGTTGTGCAGAGTCAAAACTGGAGTGTGCACATCTGATTCATGATGGAATGAATAGGTGGCTACTCAGAATAATTAAGCTAAACTTGTTCTCCTGTGCAATTCCAGAGCTGCAATGCCTGTGCCACAACTCTACGGCCTGAATACTTAGATGAGAAAAGATATTTTTGCTGTATTTAGAAGAAAGAAGGAAGGATTCCTGTTTGCTTTATACCTGAGCTATTTGACATGTCATGCCCACTTCCAACATACAGCATTGCTCTGATCTTCAGGATAAGAAAAGGCACAAAACCCAGATGATACTTCCAGTTATTCTTTTGTCAAAAGCAAGAGATGCCTGCAATTGGGATCTCTTTGAATTCACCATTAAGGATGGCTGCCACAGAGTGATGGGGCATCCAGGCACAGGCACTGTCAAATGAAGACTTTAATTGACATACTGCAGAAAAGGATCTTAAACCAACCTGTATTTGTCAAAATGGAAGTGCAGATCGCAGTGTAGTCTTTGTAATTTAGGACAAGCTCTAGATGTTAAATTGCCTGAAGCATAAATGTGTGAAAAAAGCACTTTTTTATGACAAATCCCATAGGAGCTTTATTCTCAGGGCTCTATACAATTTACTCTTTATTCTTTCTGTTATTTACCTTTTATTGAAGAGTATGTTCTTTTATGCAGGGTACAAAGAGGAAATGTATGCAAATAATATGTTTGTAAGAAAAACAAGGTGACTTGAAGACCTTTATGTGCTTGAATACAAAATTCTGAATGTGGTTTTTTGTTTTTTTTTTCTTTTACTGCTTTGGCAAACCCATGAGTTAAATTTCAGCATTGGTAGAGCCATCAGAAGAATTTTTGCAAGAGACAACATGTTAAGTGGATTTAATATTACGTTGAAAGGCAAAAAGACTTGGATTCTACTCTCTATAGCACTTCCACTCTGCAATATGGAAAGGCTGATTTTTCTCCATGCCACTACACCATGGTGTAACCCCAGCCAGCAGCCAAGCCCTGCTCAGCCACTCACTTACTCCCCCACCAGTGGGATCAGGGAGAGAATAAGAAGGGTAAAAATGAGAAAATGAATGAGTTGAGGTGAAGACATTTCAATAGGGAAAGCAAAAGCCATGCACACAAGCAAAGCGAAACAAGGAATTTGTTCACTGCTTCCTATGGACAGGCAGGTGTTCAGCCATCTCCAGGAGAACAGGGCCCCATCACATGTAATGGCTACTTGGTAAGACAAGCACCATCACTCCAAACATCCCCCCCATTTCCTCCTTCTTACCTTCACTTCACATACTGACCATGATGCCGTATGGCCTGGAATATCCCTTTGGATCACCTGTCTTGTCTGTGTCATCCCAGGTTCCCATGCATCCCAGGTTTCCCCAACAGTGTTGCAGTTGAAAAAGCAGAAAAGGCCGTGGTCCTGTGTAACAAGCCCTGCTCAGCAACAGCAGTGATATCTCTGTATTATCAACTCAGACTTTGTTCAGCACAAATCCAAAACAGCCCCATACCAGACACATGAAGAAAATTAACTCTACCCCAGCCAAAACCAGCACACAGTATTTCATCTTTGCACTCCCTTGGACCCCTCTATGTTGGTTGCCTTTAAACACTCTAGAGAGAAGGAAGGCTTACACTGTCAATGTGTTGTTCCTAGCATAGCAAAGCCACTAATACCAAGTGAATGCTGTGGAAGATGTGACTAGCACTAAAATAAGTCAAGAGACATATTTCAACTTGGCTCATGGTCTGTTTTCACCTTACAATCCATAATCATTTTCAAGAAGTGTTACTGCTCGCTAGTCCTGACATCACCCTTGTGTACCCTGGCTATCAGATATTGACAGAAGAATAGGCAAGACCCAGAACGGGCCAGGAAGAAAGAAAGAATGAAGGGAATGGGGGGGAAGGATAGTTTAAACTAAAAAGAACCATCTGAAAAAGGACTATAGAAATCTGATAGTGCTCAGAATAGTGATGACCTTTGGAGAGCAGCATCTAACTCCCAGGCTTCTTCAGGTCAAAAGAAGATTCTGGCCCTGCAATTCCCTTACCATGTTGTAACAAGAGGAGTGGACAGAAGCAGCAAGAGACCAAAGGTCATGCAAGCCTCACACACAGAGCTACATTGCAGACAAATATATGCAGTATTCCAGGCTAGAAAGGCTTAGCCTTCCTCCTAGAGACAAACTCACACTGTGAGTTGTTGCTCACAGCGTATATATTTTCTCTCTCTTTCACTCTTAGCATGTGTCATGACCATTTCCTCCATCCGTCTTGGCAACTACTAGCAACTACTAGCCCTCATGTTACTTCTTTTCCCTTCTGAAAATATGTGCAACTCCAAAAATCTCCATTCTGCAGTTGAGTTCTGGAAGAAAGGTTTGCTTGTGGACCTCTCATTGATTTCTCATTGAATTCAGGGAAGTCTTTGCCTGGCTGATCAACTATGGGTTTCAGTGAACATTTTAACTAGAGTTAAAAAGGTAAAATTCAGTGCTTGAGTCCAGAGAAAAATACCTGCCACTTCTGTAAAAGAATACATTAGTTCTAACAATCTAGTGCCCTTTAACTTTTCTCCTCATGTACCCTCCATTTTTCCTAACCTGTCCTGTTTAGTATTCAAACCTTGTTTCTTTTCTCTTTTGCCCTATAATGTAATTTTTTACACCAGATGTTTTGCACATTACAAAGCTGTAAGAAGTGTGACTTGCAGTAATTGCACTGCAGTGGCTGAGATGGATCAGGAATCCCTGAGCTTTTGTTCTGGCAATGATGGTAGTGAGTCATCCTGTAACTTCTGACACTGAATTGCTCTCATCCTAATTGCTCTCCCCCTATTTTCGTGCCTGTTGAGTGGAAGAAGTTGCATCTACCTCACAGGGCTATTTTGGAGGATTAGGACTTTAAAGTGTGCCACAAGCCTTGTTAAGTGTTGCTTAATGTGTTTATTAAGGGGCATGCACAGCCCTGAGATGTTTTTTGTGGGACTCAGGAGTGCTGCAAAACCACAGTGTTTTTTTCTGGAGACCGTGCTGAGCATACAGTAGGAGTTGTCTGTCACAGCAGGGAAGGTGTGCACACTCCCAGGCTGAGCAGCAACCTCAGTACCTGCTCACCCAAGCAGATAGTCTCACCTCCATCTTACTGACATGAAAATTAACACTAGTGTTCTCTTTCTTTCTTTTAGATCCTGGTGCTCCTGTGAAACTGCCTTGTATGCCAGTTAAACTGTCACCTCCACTACCTCCAAAGAAAGTCATGATTTGCATGCCTTTAGGGGGGCCAGACCTCTCTCTCTCATCCTATTCCACGCAGAAGAGCTCCCAGCAGCCTTTGACCCAGCAGCATCACACTGTCCTGCCATCCCAGTTAGCAGCTCACCAGCACCAGCTCCAGTACGGCAGCCACAGCCAGCACCTTCCTTCTGGGTCCAGCACGTTGCCCATTCACCCTTCAGGGTGCCGGATGATCGAGGAACTGAACAAAACACTAGCCATGACCATGCACAGGCTAGAAAGGTAATGGATCAACTTTTAAAATTCCATACTGGTGTGCACTGTTTCCTGCTAACCTCAGCATCAATATCATCACTTGAGTCACATTCACAGGACTTGAATGAGGTGTCTCCTCTGGGGTCTAACTTCAAGGCAGAGTCATTTCTGGAGAAACAGAGGCAGAGAAAGAGCCTTTCCAGGATTGTTTGACTAGTTTGTGGCAGAAAGGAAGTAAAGACCAAATTTTCTGAACCCCATTGTCCTGTTCAAGGAAGCAGATAATACAGCCAATGGAAAAGATTTTAATAGGACATGCCTGGCTTGCAGTATGTAACTGCAGAACTCCAGTTGTGTGGAGGATTGCTAAATGCAAGGAGAGGAAGATTCATAAGAGGGCAATTAGAATCCAATGTGCCACTCCAGCAGGGCATCTGATTAGTATTTCCTATTAGTTCAAAACAATCTATGTGGACTTCCTACAAGTCCTTTAGAAGAATTTTAATACAATATTTAATTTTTTTAAATTAATTTAAATTAAATTATATGTTTCATCCTAAAATAAGTGTTTAACTCCTTTCACAGCAGCTACCATCTTTGCCATTTGCATCTGGCATGAGGTAGTACATTTGATCAGAAATGCCTTACCTACCTTGGGACTTTTTTTGTTATTGTCACTTATGACTATCTCTGAATGTTTCTCCAAGTAATCTGAGTAAGTGAAGCATGTTGTATAAATGCAAGCTGCCCTTATAGACTACAATATCAGCAAGCTTTGGAAAATTTATTTCACCTTGCAGAGGAAAACTGAGAAAGTTCCAGAATAGGGAAGATAGTCTGAAAAATTATATGTTTTATTTAGTACCAAGGACAGCTTTGTAGCCAGCTTGTTCTAGGAACATCAGATCATCCTGTTACACAGGAAGACAAAATAGTTTGTTAAATAGGTTGAACAGACAAAATGCCTAATGATTTATCCCAGTATTTCTGTCTGATAATACTACCTTCATTATATTCCATAGTTGGAAACAACTGGATTATTGATGGCAGTTTCTCCTTACTGCTTGAAAAAGAGTCAGGCGACCAGAAGCTGTCTCACACTGCCACCTTATTTTAGTACCAGAATATTGACACATCTGTGATTACATCATGGGTCTAATGTTTCTGCATCATGGGGGAATTATCAGCTGTGGAAAAATTACTAGGGCTATGAAGGAGATTCTTATTCCCTTCAGTGAAAGAGATGAAGAGGTAGGATAGAAAGAGCATCCACGTTGTCCTCCACTGCCATACTCAGTGACTACCCATTTACCTTTCACACTGCCAGCGTGGCTGGTCTGGTGCCTCTGCACCACCCCAAAATTCAATGCACCAAGCACAGAGCACAGCTGTTGTCTCCCAAAGGTTCCTTTGGGGATGCACTGCCCATGCCGTCCCCAGCTTAGATCGGATGTCTTTATGTCTGGCTCACACTGTGTGCAGCAGGTCCTTTGTTATCCTGAGCCAGTGACATCTCTCAGAGTATGACTTCATTGTGGCATCTGTTGCCCCACAGCAATGAATGCTCCAGTTTCTAGTCATCCATCATGTTTATGTCTACCAATACGTTTAACTGCTTGAAAGACGGTGATGCTGTTTGGGTTTAACTATTATTTTGAAACTGAAGCTCTGCTGCTTGTTAAAAACTGAATAAGCAAGCATTCATGTCCCAGTCTGAAGCAATTGCTTCCCTTTGCAATTAATAAGAGGAAAATAAGAAAAGGTCGTGACACTGATATTTCACATTTAAAATGAATACAAATCCTAGTTCATGATATTGCAGACAGATTTTTCATAGCCTTTTTTTATGTTGACTAACTTAGTTAAATCATGGATTAATGTATTGAGTACTTTGTTTGTGTTCCTTGTCAAAACAAATCAATAACTTTTGCATTCACATGGGAGAAAATAGGTCATGATCATTTCCTCTGCAACAGCAAGTGTTATTTTTGTAGTATATAGAGGTAAAAGTATTTCAACCCATTTACAGTTCTGTGGAGCTGATCTTGCTGTTAAATTCTTCATCTCCTTTTTTCAAGCCACATTGTAATCTAGATAAATTTGCCAAGTGTGCTTGAAGATTTGTGCAGATTTTTAAAATATATTTCTTTAACTTGGGAGACAATTGCTTGCACCAAATGCCACTGTTTTCTACTATTTTTGACAGTACTTACTTTCCCTTATTGTAAAAATCTGCGTTATACCCCAGAGAAATTATACTGCAGAATTTGTCACTGCACACTTCAGCCCAAAAGTCTTGAGGGCCTGTTAAAACTGCAAAGATCCTAGATCTTCTTCCTCTGTTTGGAATTTGGTAGTGTGCTCATATCTGTAGGATGCAAAGGATATGGAGTGACATCCTACACCTTGCTGATCCTTCCAAGTTAGCAAAGTACTGGGCCACTACTGCTGGGTCAATAATCCTGAGGAGATGAGAGAGCCTGATAAGTCTCTAATCACCTTTTGGTGAATACTAAGGGGGTTTTCCTTCTGATCTCAGACATTATCTCAAAAGTATCCTACAACTTTACAGAATAATTGCCATGGTGCTGCAGTAATAATGCCGCCAAATCTGGTAATTTGGGGGATTATTTAGAATAATGTTTTGATTTTAATAAGAGATGTTCTTATAGACAAGTACAGATCAGGTTTCAGCTCTAATATTTTTCTTCTTCTGGAATTTTTCCTTTTCTTCCTTGTATCTAGTTTCTTTGGTGCAGTGGAAGCTCCTCAAGGTCATTTAAGCTATAATGGTATTTGCTGAATCAATTTGTATGAAATCCACATTTTGCTCAGTAAACTTTTCTTAGACCTCACAACTCTTGTTCACCGGGTCTCTGAATGTGGATATGAACAACAAATGAAAGGCTAAAACCTTCCCTTCCTCCAGCAATCTGGATTTTTTGCTTACACAGATAAGATCTCTGGAATTCAAATAGTCTAACAACATCTGAAGACTGATAGTTGAAATCAGTGCTTTGCCAATGAGCCACAGGCTTGCCAGAGAAAAATGAGCTTTCCCTCTGTATAGACCTGGGAGCCAGATTTTTCTGTCTTTGACCTTGAGAAAGTTACTGAGAAAGTTACTGAGTCTCTCTATCTCTATTTTCCCCTCTGCAGGAGTGATTGCATGTAACTGCCTCACCTAGATCTAGAGCATATTAATAAGTTAATATCTTAAGGTACATTAAAAGGCATGTAATAGCTGTTCAAGTCCCAGTTGTTCTTATGACTTAAAATGGCAGTTAATTCCTGGATTTTTTATTCAGTTTTATTACAGACATTATAGAACATTAAGTTGATTTATGCACTTAATGCTTTTGATTGCAAACATTTTCTGGTACTTATAATATCTATTCATAACCTATTCTCAGAAGGGCAATCTGCCCCTTGTCATAGTATGACTATTATGACATGTCATTTGTGCTGCCAGTTTGCCTCTATTTTCCCTGATAAATTACCAGTTTTATGGTAGATTAAGGTGAAACAGAGAAATGTGTAATTTCCATGTAACCTTTTTTCTGCAGCCTCTGTTGCTAATTTGTGTCCTACTGCAAATTACTTTCCCCTTCAGCCCAAAGGGTGTTTGCCAAGCTTATGTAAAACTGTAGATTTGGACACCATTTTTTGCCATTTCAGAATGCATTTTCGGACTTGATGAAAATCTGGTAAGCCCTGCCACCAAAATACGCAGATTTCATTGTCCTGACTGAACTGAATTTGAGAAGAAAGACCGTGCCTCAAAGCTGTGAATCACAAACAGTGGCTGAGGAAGCTTTAGAAACTCTCTTGCGACACCTAAATTTGTCTCTAATTTTGACTTAGTGAGGCAGTTTCTTGATCTGAAACAGCCTGATTTTTTGCCTTGCCTGTGTAATTCTCAGCCTGAGTCACCTGGAACGGTGACAATTAATTTAATTTACTCTGTGGGCTCATGTACAGGAGCGGGTGCAGATGAATCCAGGCCTCGGTTTGTTCACCATATGTACTAAAGAGCTGTTAAGTAGCAATATCTCACTCCAGGCTAGAATTGCCTCTGTGGCAGAGCAGTAAAAAATCACCGTGTCCAAAAAGACTGCGTGTGAGACCAGTTCCTCTGGGACACCCAACTCAGCTTCAGACTGTAGATTTATGAAATGAAATGCATTAGACATTACCGCCAGTGTCTTGTAAATCTTATGAAACATATTTGAGTCAGAAAACATTTATCTTCCATAAAACTTGTCAAGAGAATTGCATCTTGTCTAAACTTTAGCATTGCCTAAGGATAGAAACACTTAATATTTATAGCTCTGCCTTCTGTCTCTGTTTCTCACACACATTCCTGTAGTAGAAATGTATATACAGTGGCTTGAAGTTTTTTCAGATTTTTTTGTTTTAACTGGTAAGTGCAGAAAAGTGTACTGTGGATCTGAAAACATTCTAATAAAAATGTAACTCTTTATTCCCCAATTAAATGGCGTGGCATGACAGACAAGAAGTGTGCAGGTTTTTCCCACTAGATTTTACAGGAAGTATTTAACTTTTTTTTTTCTTTATTTTGTCTGTACCATGAGTCATTTATATGCTTAAATTGTGATTTTTCATTAAAGTATTTTCTCACTAGAAACACTGTAAGCTATAGTGGTGTATCTTTTTTGCTGTTTTGATCATGTAAAGATGATGCAGCAGTAATTGCAAGCTCTTGTTCTAGGGAGCTATGAAATGTCCAGATACATGCATTAAGATCTTCTTTAAACAAGTACTTGCTTAACTGTAGCTCTTTAATTTTGTTGCAAAACACAAAACTGGTTTAAAATGGGCTTTTTGAAACAATAGTGTCCTTTTTGGTGAATAGTGCTAAAAATTTTGTGGTGTAGACTACCTGACCATGTGGGAGTTTTTCTAATGACCCAGAGTCATTTATACGCAATGGACATATCCAGTGACCTTGATTTGTCTTTTTGAAGTATACTGCAGTACTGCATGTATTTCATAAGCACTTTGCTTAGACAGCTGATTTAGTCAAATTGCTGTGGAAAGGGCTGATTTTAATCAAGAACAACACAAAACACTAGGAAAAATGAGGGGCTTAAAATAGAAAGTAGTATTATCAAGAAAGTGGATGATTCAGAAAACTTACAATGAGATGAGAAGCTGCCTATTTCTAGACCACTAGTTCAAATAAAAATCCTCTGTGGTAACTTGTAAATTTTGTTGCCATCCTCTTATCTGCTGAATAACCTAAACTGATGGATCACTTTGATATCTGTTACCCTATGGACACACCTGAAAGGATGCATCCAGAAGCTACAACCATCCTTCACAGAACAGGGATGCACCATATAGTCCTAGATGCTGAACTACTTCTTCCTCCCTTCATTTGTATTTCAGAAGGGTACACAGAGAGTAAGTACAAATTAGTGAATTTGTACTTACTCTCTGTGTATGTATTGTTTTAAAATTAACTGAATGATCCAGTGGTTGTGTGCTTGCAATTGGAGGTTTTGGGTACTTTTTTTAGCAATGTTAACAGAATTTCACAATATTGGAGTTTTTCTCTGAAATTTGATTCCAGACTTTTGAATTTCCTCTCCTTCCTCTTTAAAAGACTTACTCAAAAATTACCTTACAGAGAAAACAGATTGAATGAAGTTCATAATATAAAAATTCTGAAAGCATTTCAATAAATTATAGTTAGTTCAACATTTTTAAAGATTGTAGCGTATGGATGTGTCATTATGAGAATTCAGCTGATGAATTCTAAACTGCATCTGGGATAAAGTTTTTTGTGTCAAACTCATTGAAGTTCAGTAAAAAAATTTGCAAGCCAGTTCTTCATGAATCTCTCTTACTTTGTGGCACAAAACATGGGCTATCACTAAGAAAATCATGTTTGTCTCTTCAAGGCTTCTAGTAAAGCTCTGCATCTCGTTGGTTAATCTGTAATAATACATGTTGGAATTAACAAAATTATTTCTTTGAAGCTGAAGGTGATGATAACAGCATGGTATGGTTTGTTCACAGGGTCTGAAGTCTTTTCTTCTCTTTAATCCCTAAGCATATTTGGAGTAGCATTATATTCCTAGAACTACATTTAGAAAAAACTCTCTTATTATGTTATCTGGCAGCCATTTAAGAGTCCGTTCTAACTTTTGGGTTAGAAGAAAGCAAAGTATTTCAAGTTGAAGATGGTAGATTCAGTAGACTTCTGTAGAAAATCTTTTAAAGAGAAGAATACATTTTATTTAAAATACAGAACACCTCTGGTATTTAGGCTAAAATATTCAAGGGAATTGAGGGTACTCAATACTTGTCAGATCCAAGTTTGTGTGCCTCAAGGTCAACTTGGCCAGCACATCTGCTTTCATACCTGTGTTCTTCTGGAAAGTAAAATGGGAGTTTGACATAGAGAGGCAAATGTTGCCCATTTTTCATAGACTTATTGCATCAGCCAGGATTTCAGTCAGAGGGCAGTTTCTGCTGTTTTACAAATAATCCTGAGCTGCCACCATTTTTGCCTGCCAGTCTCTCATTCAGATTTCATACTGGAAAAGCAACATGAACTATTTAGATAAAAAATGATTGGGAAACATGGTTCTGTTCCTGACTTTTCCTTTCACTTTTTGTTTGAATTTGATCTTCACCTCCTGATGGTCCCATTTCCTTACATGATATGTTATTTGGTAAAGGACTTTGAATTCAACACATAAACAGGGCTAGATAGTAGCAGTCCTCACCACAGGTCTTAATCTCATAAGATGCAGAAAATAATCAATCACACCTGTGACAAAAGAAATATGATGTTAGTGCTAATTCTGATTGATCATCAGCACCAAGCTGGATAAAGAGCTAGGGCAGGACAAGGGATATCATCATGGTCATCCCCCACATAACTGTGCCATTAGCAAACAAAGCTCCCAGGTTTTAGCTGCTTCCTGGTTACTCTCATGTGCTCTCAAAGTCTCTTTTCTCCAAGCCCAGTTTCACGTGCTCACTCCCCTGCACGTCAAAGAGCTGTGCACTTGCCATCCTCTCAAGTCACTCATCACTAGTGCAAGCCACTAGTTTTCCCTCTGTCTTTCTACAATTATCCCCTAGTCTATCCCTATCCTTCCTTCCTCCCAGTCTTACTCCACCTTTTGCAGTCAGGTGAAACATTTTCCCCCTGCTGTCTGCACAGCAGCAGAAAGGTCACACAGACACCAGGCTGAAGGTGTGCTCACCACTGAGTAGCTGGTCACTAAGTACTTACCCCAGATCTTTAGTGCTTTCATCCTGGCTGACAGTATTTCTGTCTGCATGCTGTCCTGCCTCTCCCTAATAAGTGTTGTACCCTAAATCTATTAAGTACTCAGTTTAAACCCATTAGATTTCTTGCTGGTCTTGAAAATCATTCTGTTCTCATTTCTTCTCAAAAAGGGATGAAAGACCACTACTTTTCAATATACAGTGAGAGAAGCAACTCTGCCCTTCATTGATTGACCTGTTTCCTTTAGTTTATTTATTTGCTTTTCTTTCCCAACAGCTCTGGTTTACACACAAGTGACAGTGTTACAAAAACAGGACCTGGGGGCCTTCCAGACATGAGACAAGTGCCAACTGTTGTGATCGAATGCGATGACAATAAAGAAAATGTGCCTCATGAAACTGACTATGAAGATTCTTCCTGCCTCTATCCAAGGCAGGAAGAGGAAGAAGAGGAAGATGAAGAGGAGGATAACTCATTATTTACAAGTAAGACTCATTCCGTTTTTCTTTTCTCACTTATTTAATTTTTGCTCTGAACTTGCAATACACAAAGGAAATACAAGGTCTGTGTATTTTGTCTCTTTGCTGTGGCTTTTGCATCTCTCAGGGCTTGACTACATGGGGATGCTAATTCAAAATAACAAACAGTATGAATTTATAGTGATTTCACTAATATACATGAATTCCTGTCTCAGTAGCGCTCAGACTAAATTCAAATGATAGATTTGGGCTTATATTGGTTCAATTAAAAAATGGCTTTTGGATTCACTTTCCCAAATGCCCATGGTGAAGAGAAGTCCTGCCTTTGGCTTAAGTCAAGATCATGTCAATAGTTACTTCAGGAGGATGAAATAGTTGCCACACATAGAGAATTAGAGCTTTTATATATAGTCAATATTAAATCATTTTGGAATCATAAATGTGCACATGCTTTGAAAGGGGTCACAATCAGAGGATTGAGCTCAGATAAGAGGTTGTTAATCAATAGCCATGTCACGATTACAGACTGGGAAAGGACCTGTGGCCTTCCTGACCTCTGTAAGGAAACCCAACTCCTGCCTCAGTGTGGCATTGTAGGACTGTCCCATGAAGACAAGATACAGTATTTTATATATGACAACTGCTTGTCATCCTAGACACTGAAGTTCCAGGCCTTTGGCTTTCTTTTCTTCTGAAAACTGGAAGCAGTACAATCAAACAACATCCCTTTTAAAACACACAGAAAGAAGATTCTGAACCAGGCATGTTTCATCTCCTCAGAAACCCACCTTACCATGCAAGTGAAATTAAGCAGTGTTTGCTCTTAAACTAAAAACGGAACAGAACTGCACTGTCTCACACTCTCCTGACAGAGGCCAAAACCTCTCATGTGTTTGTGTCGCTCTGTGTCTGTCTTCCTTGCTCAAAGTGCTTTGGACATGAGCCTAAGAAAGCAAATTGGAGCCATAAAAGGCCACTGGTTTTTAGGGTCTTTGCCACTGTCACTGCCTGGGAAGCAGTTCTTTAATGTGCATAGAGATTTATGCTGCTTCTGATTGACCTTTGATTCCTTCTAGTGCTGGCTTAGACATCTTGGTATTACATTGCAAGAGACATTCAGATACCCCTCTCCTTTCACATCCAGTAGCTCTGCTGCCTGCCCAGACTCTGAGGTTGAATTTTTCATTCCATTATGTGGAAATACTGTACTACAGAAAGCTACACATGCTACCAGCAATTCTGAAACAAGCCCTTCTTCTCCATTCCCCTCTATGGAGAAATATATTAATTTCTATTTTCTGTATACATACAAATTTCAGTTTTTCCTTATTATGATATGAATTGAGGTTAATTGAGCACATGAAGTTAATTACACCCCTTTTCCCATAGTTCATACCAGAGTAAAGGAGAGCCTCATATTGTCCCTTGTCTAGTACTTCTTTGCCAGCTGCATGCTGTAATGAAATGATGACACCTCCTTTGGCAGACCCTCTCCTCTCTCCCACAGGCCCCCTGGCAAGGAAACTCTGCAGGAAGGACTCTTTAGCAATCAAACTAAGCAACAGGCCTTCCAAGCGAGAGCTGGAAGAAAAGAACATCCTCCCCATGCAGACAGATGAAGAGAGGCTTGAACTTAGGCAGCAGATTGGGACAAAGCTAACAAGGTAAGAGAGAAACTTTTTTTTTAATTCTTGCTTTTGGAAATATGTGATGGGATGTAGTTTTTTCCTTAGTCTTTAAACATTTTAGATCTGTTTAGTTACAATGTTCACAAGAGGAAAAAATAGTTATATACGTTGTTTCTGGTTCAGTAAAGCTTCCCATATAACTCCCCATTTCATTTTCCTGCCATATGCTATGGGACCTTTGGTTAAGTATCAGTATGAGCTACATGAATTTGGTTCTTTTTGGTGCATCATTGGAAAATGTTCAGCTTTGATAACATTTTGGACTGTAGCTGTGGGTGCCATTTTATAAGCTATTAGTTTGGCCAAAGGTCAGAGGTATAATTTTCTCTTCTGACTGCACCTCCTGTGAGTAGCTGAGACTTTTCCTGGTGCAAAATAGGTTAAGTCCTTCATTGGGTCAGGTTGGACAGATTTACCCTGTCTAAACACCTTCTTCATAACAGTGTTACTCACCAACTGTTCTGGTTTTCTGTATTACATGGGGTATAAAGGGGTGGCCATTAAATGTGGAGGATTTCTGACAATAATTAGTAAACTGAGGTTAGACAGAACTGCCTAAGAACCTTCTATGTGCATGGCATGATTTCTGTAATCAGTTTAATCCTCTTACATTGTCAACTTGGTGGTATGCAGAGCTGGTGAATGCTGTTAGTTGCTCTCCAGTGAGAAAACCACAAGGAGATGGCCAACCAGTTGTTGGGAATTTTCTCGTACACTTTCATTTTTTTATTTTGGGGGTAGGTGGATAAGAGGGAAACACTGCTACCATGTTATGGAGACAGGAAGGAGCTCCTGGTAAATACCACTTTCAGCAATTCATTTGCTTTTGTCTCATGGCCTTGTTTATCACCTCTTTGGAATAAACTAACCACACCTTTTCAAACTGTCTTTGAAAGTTTTTGTGCTGGATCATACTCAACCTACTCCAAAACTCCAATTCTTCAGTTTTCTTGTTGAGGGGCTTCAGCAAACATGCCCAAAATATGTAAGATTGGTTTGCACTGTTGTTGGTACTGTGATTTTTCAGTTCAGTCTTTACTCAGCTTTATTTCAACCTTGTTAGACTGTAGCTGCAATGGGGCTCTGGGTCCCAAGGAACAGCACAGGACAGCAAGGTCCCAGTGCTTATATGATTAAATTTGAACCCTTTTGAAGCATGTGAAGAATTTAAATGTTTGTCTCTTAGCCTATCTCACTGCTTGACTTTGCAATGACATTAAACAGCATTATCACTGCATCACCCATTTGCCTAAATTACTTAGGTCCTTCTGAAGTTTTCCAGCTATGGCTGGTGAAGGAAAGTGATGTCATTTACAAACATTGATTCTGCACAGCTCACTGTGCACCAGGTCTTTTTCATTATAAGTATTTTATCTTTCACCTCTCCAAAACCTGCTTTTTTCCTCACTAAACAATATTTTTTAAGCATATGATGCCTTTTTAACAAAAGAAGCTATTTTTGGCAATACACAAAACTCTTCCTTTCTAAGCCCCATATTCTCATAAAGTTGTTTTTTGTTTCCCCAGTTGTATCTCTGCCAATCTGAGTTTAACAGTTTGAGCTATAATGCCTGATGTTGTCTTCTAATATAGCTAGGACTTAAGGGCAATCACAAATATTTCAAATAATTAGAACTGTGTATATATGAGTTCAAAAAAATAGATGAGCTGATTAACAGCTGTTTCATTCCTGCTTTATATCAGTGTAACATCACTGAAAATGGTAGAATTCCACAAGCCTTAACTGGAGTGGTATAGCTGCCAGTCTGACCTTTAAATTAGTAATATTTACAACTTAGTATCTCATCCTTTTGAGTAGTTGAAAATAATCATGAAATACGAGGAGAAAACAATTTTTCTTATATCTAATGTGTAAGAAGCCACAGACATTTCAGCAGCAAAAAGGAAAGGTGCTTGTCTTACCAGTGTTTTATATCTAAATGCGATATATCCATGCACACAAACTGATGAATATTAAGTTAAAATGGACAGAGTATTTCAATTTGGACAGTATTTCCTTACTGTCCAGACTTTATTACTGAATCCATCCTTTGCTGTTGCTTGGTAATTGTCACACAGTGATGCAAATGCCAACCAAAATTAAAGTAGTGAAGCATTTATAGTCCTTAGAGAAGATGCTAGATGCAGACTATAATTGCAGCTGGCAATTTTGGATTTCAGAGGGATTTGTACTGCTCCACCAATGGTCCCCTAGGGTTTAAAATATCCAGCCAATCAAATCATATATGCTGCTTACAGAAGTAAAAAATGCAGAATAAAAACTTCAGCACAGAGTTATTGTCTGTAATGGATCAATTAATTTTCACCAAGAGGCTGATTAGGATACTTCAGTATTTATGCATAACCCTCACAGTATTTAATTTGGAAGAGCTCATTGGCTGCCACATTTGGCAGATCAGAATTTAGTATTATAAAGAGAATGTATTTTTCAAAGATGCCTCTATCCAGGCATATTGAGATTGGCTGTTGACATATTGTGTGCGACCAAAATCGTCCCAGGTGCAGTTCCTCCAGCCTTATTAGAGTTGCACTGGGAATCAGTTTGGCTCAGAAAGGTCTGTTCAGATCTTGTTTAAATGTAGTTTGGAACCTCTTGTTATTCCCAGAAAATTATTACGACTTGAGTATTACATCAGCCAACTGGAAGAGAGAGAGATTCCACAGCAGAATTTAATTTCCTGTGCTGGGAGAATTGTGCCGTGACTTACACCAGGCCAATTGTAAGGGTGAGGCTGGAGGGACTGTATCTTATAGGAGGACCTGGCCTACTACACACCTTGGTGCTCACTCAGCCAGGAGAGAAATTCTTTGTGCCTGTCACAGAAACATTTCACATGAATTGTGAAGTCGTGCTTCCCTGGTCTTCGTCCTGTGTCATGGCTCAACACATGCAGACCCAAGCAAAAAGGGAGCTTCTTGCCCAAGGTGGCAAAATATGTCCTAGCAAAGGCAGGAGATTCCACATCATATGAATTCCAGCCACATGAATAGGCTGCTGCACCATAAACCATTTCTGAGGAGTCCTTGCATAGCAATTATGGCAATTGATTGCAGCAATTAATTAGAAGATCTCCTCCTCTAACCAAACCAGAATGGATTACTCCAAAATGTGACATCTCCCATGAAGCAAGGAGCAAAAATAGTGAATTAAGATGCAGAACTTTCAGCTCAAAACCACATGTGGCATGGGAATAGGAAATGGATGCTGGAGGCCATGTTCTTGGCTGCTAAAAACCTTTACAGCTCCATTATCTTCCACTCTGAAATGCAAACCTTCTGTGCTAAGTAAATCTTTAAGTGGGTATGATGTTTTTTTTTTTTTTTTTGCCTGTTCAGCTTCTCCTTAATTCCTCCTCCATTTTATCCCTCTGGTGCCTGCACAGCTTAACAGCTGCTCAAGAAGTGTGCATGTCTGACCATAAGACAGGAGAACTGTCTTACACTGAAAGGAGAACACAGAGAAAAAAACAGTGCTCTGAAAATTTACATGGAGAGGGAGGAAAGAGACAGATGTCTCTCTTCTGCCTGTCTCACTGGCTGTGTTGGACCTGCTGGGAAGCACAGGTTCCCTATTATTTCTGTTAGAGAAGCAGCCAGGAGGACTTGGATTTAGCTTTCAATTGCTGTCAGGGTGAGAGGAATGGGGCATACCCAGGCTGTGACAGTGAGCATGGAGATTTTCCCAGGGCAATGATAAAGTCCTGTTAGGAAGCCCTGGTGAAAAGGAGGGCCAGCACTGATGGGTGATGGACAGCAGAGCTGCATGTCTCCCACAGACTGCAGGAGTGTCCCCTGGTACTGAGACAGGTGCTTCAGTGCCAGTCCTTGCACTTCTCTTTCACCACAGAATAAAAATGTTGGTCATAAAAGACCACACAGACTTTCTCAATCAACATATTTGGTAAACAAAAGAGCCCTTCACAGAAACACCAGACTTTGTACTCTCTTGGAATGGGAAGACCTGGGTTTTTTTGTGTGTCTTTCACAAAGTCTCCCTCATACTCTGAGACAATGTGTGTCTTTAGACTGTCTGATCTGCCATACTTCTGACACAGGGGGCTTTCTAAAACATTCAAGTATTTTTCAGTACCTTAACCCACCAACTCTGGTGAGGGTCCTCATTAGCAATTAGATACAGGAGTATTAAAACTGAGATTTTAGTCCACTGCTTTTCAAGAATACAGTGCATTTATTTGTTTTCCCTGATTGTTTTCATCCTGGCTTCTCTCACCTGCTGGAATTGGATGATCTAATAACACAAAACATCCAGTGATCCAGTGTGCTATCATCATGTTGTTATTAATCAATGTTAAGGGAACTTCTTGATATTCGCAGTATTATTACTGATCAACCTAATGTCTGTCTCATCAGCACACTCCTACCCACTGTCTGCAGCTCTGGAGACAGAGGAGACACATAAAGGCTGGCCACTGGCAGTAGTGCTTGTCAGGGGACTGCTACCCTCCACTGGAAGGTGCCACAGGCAAGCCAGTAAGATTTTGCAATCCAATAAGAGTTTGTGCCATGCTGCTGCCAAAAGCTGTTAGTTGTAGGGGTCATATTTATCATGCCCAGTGTGAAAGCAAAGAGAGGTGAGGTGGGGAAGCAGTGTCCTGTGCATTAGCTGACTAGGAAATGAGAAACAAATAAAGAAAGTAACTACCTATTGCCTCTTTCCTGACTTTGAGAGATGCTCTTCCAATTGCTTGACTGAATCCTGTGTGTGTCACTATATACGTTCTGCTGGCTTTAAAGCAGTGAATTAGAGGCAAGTTTCTCTGCCAGGTATACAGTAGTGCACTGCATTGTTTTTTGTATCTTCCTAGATTTATTCACTACAATACCTTACGGTACTGTCCTTACACCAGCAAGTGGAAAATCGTGATCTGAAGCAATATAAATAGTATATTGCAAGATCATGAGGCAATAGATCACAGAGTTGCTGTCTGTGTGCA